CACATGGGGTTTATACAAATTGATCAGCTTTGTTTTGACATCATGCAGCTTCATTTCGAACCAGCAAATTTAAGCTAGCCGAGATGTAAAAGCAACTAAAATAGTGACTTTTGCCATATCAGGTGAATCTTGTACAAGGTCAAGAAGTTTGTGCTACTGAAAGGAAAACCTGTGTTTTTTGCAATACATAAATTAACATGGTAGCAACTGAGGACATGGGGGCTGAAATGAACAATTGCATTCTTTCCATGACTCTTATAATATACTCTACCCTGAGGATTTTGAGCAAATACTCTACAGGGAGTGAAAGGCTAGAGGTCGTGTGAGTGTATAATGTTCAGGGATGGTGCAAGAAATCAAATATTTCCTTAGAGATTTCTTTTTAATTAATCAAATGGAATGTTTATAATATCTCCAGTGCTGAATGCTGTTGATGTTTTATTCAAAAAGCCACACAATGTCTCTAGGTTACAATAAAGGCACAATAACTCATGCAGAGGCATAGAAGCATGAGACGGTAGAAAATAACAAGAAAACAAGGCATTTTTGACCCTCACTGAGAACTCTATCCACAACAAAATATTAGTTCATTACTTCATCTGTGGCAGTGCCAGTGGGTATTTTCATGTGCTGGGGGCCATTCCACATGGGCAGTTTGGCTGCATTTTCCCTGCTTTTGGTGCTGGGACACAAGCCATGCTGCATGAGGAGGCCTTGACTCCAAAGGTGGCTCCTGGCTCACTTTGTGTTCACATATGGGGTGGCTCTGAGGTCAGGCAGGACATTCACCCATGTGACATGGCACCCTTTTGAGGGAGGCTCTTGCATGACCCCATACAATTCTTGTATCCTTTCAAGCGTGTGCTTTGTAAAGCTTCATTATTTACTATTCTAGATTTGTGAGGATTTCCCTTTGATCTGTTTGGTCCTGATCATTCCCTTTCAGACTGATAACAGGGATTGGAAATACAGTATTCTGGCATCTTTGTTAATTTGGGCAGGGTCTCCTCTTCAGCAAGAGTCCTAGCAGTTGTGAGCCACATGTCATGAGAGACTGGACATGTATTTAAAGATGGATTATATAAGTCTTTGTTTTCAGTTTCATGCCCCTGCACTGGTATCAAATGCTCTGGAGAGCATCTGCAGCCACATCATCAAAGACTTCTCCAAAGCTCCCTCAGGTTTGAATTCTATTTGCAAATGCACATATGTAGCTGAAATAATTGCTGCCATTGCCAGGCCCACTTTGGCAACAGCAATAAATGGTTTATAGGCAGATTCAGAGGACTGTTGCTACGCATAATAAAGCCATTTGTGCAACAGTCTTGGTCACACTGTTCTAAGATGGCTATGCCAAAATCCTTTTGGGAGATACCTGCAGCCAGATGAAGTGTTTTCTTGCTGCCAAGAAACTTTCCTTCTGTGGTTTTAATATGCAGTATGCAGCAAGGGAGTGTTAGTAAGTCACTGGGTAGCCTAAGAGGAAGGCTACTATGTTTTCAGTCATGTTAGCCTCTTAGTTGCCTCTATAAGCCCCTGTCTGGATTAGAAACCTCCCTTTACAGGCCAGTTTCTGATTGCTAATGTTTCATTTTTCTAGCAATCTATTTCTGGTGATTTGGTGTGTATTCCAACCGTGTCCTTTATCAGAACACAGTCAGCCCTGCAAAGTCACAGTGTTGACTCTCTATCTGCCTTACATCATCCTCATACACTCACGATTTCTTGTAATTTCTGAACCCTCTACTTACATGCTTGCTTCTTTGCTTTATTTTTACGCAGAGTTCAGTGTACATCACCTTCATAGTGAGGTAATTCCTCCTCTGCCTGTGCTAATAGAAGATCATTTAAAACCTCAAATCTCATACAGTCAAATAAAAATCAGGTAAATACTTGAGTGTCTTCTCTTTTTGTAGGGGAAATTCACAGTGAGAGTTTATTTTTTTTTCCATTAGGTCACTGATACAAAGTTTTGACATTGGACTGGGCAGCCAGTACTATGTTCTCACTGTCTAAGAAGTCTATTGCAAAGGTCATTTCTTCTCCCTCCAAACATGCTACAGAGATGTAAGAATCACCAGAAGGACCAGCTGCTCAGCAGTATTTTTTTGTATCCAGACTTTCATCCAGAAAGGGGTGACTTCTAGTTTGGCTTGAAGATCAGCCTACCAAAATAATTAAAGCTTGAACCAGAGAATACTTCAAGGAGGAAACTGAAGGACCTGACAACCAAGAGATATTAATAAAATGCTGCAAATACTTATTTTCATTCAGTGAAAAAATACAACATGTTCTAAACTACACGCATAATCTCCAGATCATTTTCATGGAGCTGTCAAATGCAGAAAGTGTATCAAACTATGAAATTGGTAATATGCACACACACACATACACAAAAAGAAATAATCAAGGTTGGAAATGCCTGACTTTTCCTGCAATGAACTGGGTAAGGCAACAGGGAGCTGCCTCTCAGCAGTGAGCACACTGGAGGTCTCTCTGATGATACTGGTCCTAGAAGTAGCTGGATGAGGTCCCAGGGTGGAAACTTGGCATTTGCCTAAATGCTGGAGACAATGGAAGCTGTTCCTTCTGACATGGATGAGAAATCGGTCATATCTGTTGGCCCCAGTTCATAAGGGTGGACTAGTAGCTGGAAATCACTGACCAGGAAACGGGCTGCACTCGCCCTAAGGGAAGATCTTTAAGGATTTGCGTACAGTAATGTTATTATCTTTTATCTACAGATAAAAGATTTATATACCCAAGGTGCCATTTATGCCACCTTTTCCATGAAAGGGAGACAATAAGAGGGAACACAATCTTCTCATGCAAATCATTGCTATTAACAACAATACGTACAGGACAAAATAGAGGACATGCTGAGGAAATGTTTCTGTGGCAAATGTGCTGATGAAAAACTAAACGGATGCTTGAGAGAGGTGCAGGCTGCAGGGCTGGAGGAGAAGCCAGCTGCTGATACCCTGGAAGTGTGCTCAACAAATTACCCTCTTCTCAGGTCACTTCCAGGCACAGTGCGAGTTATGGAGGTTTAACCTATGAAATCAATTCTGGCATGGTTTTAGGGAGATACTCGCACTATATAAGTGATTACATAGGAAGCCTAGATTTAGACAGGGTAGCTTCAGTCTCACTCTGGTACCTCGAGCGTTTCTCACTTCCCACTGTGGAGCACGTGGCCCAGCTCCACGTCAGCCTGAGACTCAGGTCAGCAGCCCAAAGCCCCCGTGCCGCAGCTGCTGCAGGACACGATCCAGGGCCCCTGCCCCAGAATGAAGCGAGGAGTAGTGAGCAACCTGGCCAGCAGCCGGGAGGCTGGTACACCCCAGCAGCTCACTGTAACACAGCCAAGTTCAGGACTTGTGCATCTGAGAGGTCTCCGCAGGGGAGGGCTAGCTTGGAACGATGACCTTAACAAGCACTGTTGGTTTGTCTTGTTTGCCCTCCAGGAAATGTTTATTTACCCAGGCTTTTCCTGCGAAGATGTGTTGCGTAGGACGTCCTCAGCTGAGGGATGGGGCATTTCAGTTCAATGGGTATTTTGCAACCTACGTATCTGTGATAATACATGCTCTTAAAAAGGAAGCCAAGACCAATCACACTTCTGTCTAATTAGTTTTACTACAATTGTTGGATGTAACATGCATGATTGCCCTCACAGAGTTTAGAGTTATATCTCTTTTCTTGGAACAAAGTAATTACATCGTACCTTTCCCATATAGCCAGGGTCACTGCCTCTTGTTATAGCTAATTATTTTGTTTCCCTTATTTTCTACCTAGGGGCGGGTATCCCCCATGAAAGAACAAAACATTCGTAAGTTGGGAAAAATTTGAGTGGAGAAACCCAAATCCACTGGGGCAGTGGTACCCCTGTGCTGTGTGAGGTCACCTTTCAGTGCAGGACCTGTCCCTTACTAAGGTTGGGCTCATCTCATGCTCTTGGCTCCTGCCTGTCAGGGGCCTGCTCTCACCCACTTTGGTGCTCCCTGGGTTATGGGAATCACTGTGTCTGTTTTGGCAAGCTTTTGCAGATGAAGCTCTTTGCCTGAACACTGGCTAGTTTAATACCAGAGAGGATCTTAGCTAGTTGCAAACCCCTGCCGTGGGCAGCGACACCTCCTACTAGACCAGGTTGCTCAAAGCCCCACCCAGCCTGGCCTTGAACACTTCCAGGCAGGGAGCTTCCACAACTTCTCTGGGCGACCCGTTCCAGTGTCTCACTAGCTTCACAGTAAAGAATTTCTCACTACTATCTCATCTAAATCTGCCCTCTTTCAGGGGATGTTCTTGCCTCCTGTGGAATCAGTGAGCCATTTTCACAGACACAGGTTCTCCACATACAAAGAGTCCTTCCTACATCTAAAACGCCCCTTAGAAAGCATGCAGTTTTTTGCTTCTGTGTATATAAAAGTAATAATGCTCATTTTGTTTGCTAAATCCACCTGCCTTACCAAACTGGGTACAACCCTTTAAAACATAAAGCACCCAGTGATATTTCTCTTGGTGGCAGGTGACTGTATCCCTCATGGAGGTAAGAGTGGACTTCCCAGCAACTTGTCGTGAGGGGCCACTGCCATACCAAGCTGTGCTCTTGGCTTGCAGAGGCACAGCCAACACAGTGTTGGGCATGGTGTGTGGCCCACCAGCGAGGGGAGCAGGTTTGGGCAGCATTTCGGCCCAGCAGTGCGAGAGGGGACATGGTGGCAGAGCGGCTGCAGCCAAAGCCATGAGATGCACTTAGCCCACCTGCAATTTTCCTTAGTGACACCCTTTTCCACCCTATGCACAGCTGACATGAGATTTCTTATAAAAAGAAAAATCACTTGGTCATCGTCTTTGAAGGAAGCTACAGCTTTCTTGTGTCTCTGCACCCTACTAACAGTTCCTCAGGCTTTTCAAAAATGGGTTGCATTCACAGGCATCTCTGCAAGAGCAGGCTGGGAGCAGTGTGCGATGGCAAATGAGGCGTGAAAAACTCCTACCATCGACCATGGGTTTGGGCTGTGAGCTCTTCAGCCGCAGCGAGGGTCTGAAGCGGGTTCGATCGTTGAAGCTCCAGCTCTTCTGGACTTTGGTTGGGCTGCCCTCTGTGGCAATGTCGGCACTTGGTGACCGGCGATCTCCAACTGAAGACTGTCTGTTCTTTATGCTCTGACCTCGTGGGCTGGCCATCCGGACCCGCTCCTTAAAACTTAGCTTTTGACTGTGAAGAAGAGAAATATATTTCATTCCATAGTTCCTTCATTCCATTTCCTTTTTCTATCATACAATAATAAAAAATAATTTCTAAAAATTCTCAATAGTATGAGTCTGTTTCTTACACATTTTTATTTTCACTGAATATATTTCATTTGGGAGTGAAACTGATTTGATGCAATTGCTTTTCTGATGGAGGCATTAGCAATGGTAATTTGTCTTACAGTATAGAGTAGCCTTGTAAAAGATTAAAATTAACAAACAGAAACAAATTTCAACCAATTTTATAGATTAATCTCTAATATTATTTTTCCTATTCCTTGAATTTTAAATACATTCATTTCTATCATAGTCAGCCCAGCTCAGTGCATTTCTGGCCATCTCTTCAGATAAACATGGAAAAAATATATTCTATTATTACTGCATGCCATGTAGTATTGTGTGTTTGTTTTTTTTTTTTTAAGCAGGCAAAAATACTGTTAGTATATTCATGCTTTTTCAAGATGTGGCACTTCCAACATCTCATATGAATTGTTAGTGATCACTTGTATCCAGAATTCCTTGTTACAGAACTTGGACAAGACGAAACCAAAATTAACAAAACATCCAAGGAACAGCGTGATGACTGGATTAATGGAAATGAAATGATACACTCTGTGCTTACTGAAGTCATTGCTGGAGATGGAGCTGGGAGCTGACTGCCTGCAGGTGGTATTGGGCAGGTGCTTTAGGACAGGTACAAAAACCCAGCCAAGCTCATGACTGTGACTGCTGGATCGATAGTGGCCCTGTGGTCCTCTAGTTGCCCAACGGCAAGCTGATTCTTTTCCTTCCTGTGCTTATAAACCTCCCCTCCAGTCAGCTAAATGTGGGGTATGTAGATTTTCTACTTGCGAGGGCTTAAATTGCCTTTGTTCATGTTCAAACATATCTGATGAACACTCTGTGGTCACTGTGACTATCTTCCTATGCTTTTTCCTCAGTCAACGTTTTTGCCTTGCAGTAGCTGCTCATGGTGTGATGTTTCTGGGTCTTGCAGTCCTACTGCCCTGGCATAGGCTTTGGGGGTACTTTTATAACACCTATAGCAAAGAATGTCTACCTGCAAATTACAATTGTACTTGAAGTACTCTCAGTCTTTGCACTTAACTTCAGCATGGCCCCAAGATGTTTTCAGCAGAAATGAATTCTGCAGCTAATTAACTAATGCTAACATGGACTACATGTTTCTTAGATGTTTAACCTACTGCACTCTGAAAATACAGTGTTAATATGTAATTATATGAAATGGAAAGTAGTTATAATCTTCTGTGGCTGTGAAATGTTGAGATAATCAGGTTTGTATGTCCATGCATGGCATGGCATGGCAAGGCACAACATAGCATAGCACAGCATAGCATGCTGAATACAAGCATTGCTGAGAGCGGAAAGGATGCAGTTTGTAGCAGGCAAGGCACATGCTGGGAAGCTAATAAGGAGAGGATTTTCAAGAATGCTAAAAAATGAGCACATCAATAGAAAGATTATTAGATAAATGTATTTCTATATGGCATGTTGAATCACTTGAAAGAATACCTTTACTGTAATTTCTGAATGCAACTCCCTTCTTCCCTTGCCCCAAATAGGCAATTGTTGAAATAAACACACCACAGTGCTGGAAATGTTATCTATTTCCATCGCAAATTGTTACCCAGACCTGCAGTACTGTGTGCTGTTGCATATGCAATACAAAAGACCCACAGAACCTACTATCTGAAAGAGAAGTGAGTTCTAAAATTTAATTTTCAGTACAAATTACATTTCAAGACTGAATTGCATTTCAGCTCAGGAATCCTTCACATTGTACAACTTAATGAAAATATAAGCTGTAAAATATTTATTAACCACATTATTGCATTGTCATACTATACAGCATGAGCAACAGAATCAAAATGGACTTCTTATTACAGATATTATTCCTAGGCATGTGTCCCCTGTGCTTTTTTAAACTCCTCTTATGGCTCAAATTGTATTTGCTATTGAAGCATGAAATTCAATTATATTTTTTTTCATGAATCTTAAGAGTAAAAAAGTTTCTGTACAGATCTCTCACTACACTAATTAAAATGAAAGGAAAATCAATAAAATAGCCATAAAAAGCAATCAATATGGACCACATTTTTTATAATCCCATTAATTCCAAAATAAAAAAGAAAATTAAAAAATGAAAAAAGCATACTTGTTCTTGTTGTTCTGTCAACTAATTTATACTAATGAAAGCAATGCCTGCCTTTAAACGATTTGTACACATGGTTATTTCATTTATAAAAGCTGAATGGTACACAATGGCTACTTAACCTGAATATCTTTAGTTCTCCAAATCAAAGCAATGAGGCAATGGTGAAAGGAACAGTAGACACTTCATCGGTACTAGAAACATTTTTCAAAAGTGCAACACTGAGAATGAAAATATTAATTTAAAATGCAAACCTCATACTTTAAAATTAAAAAAAATCTGTTCTGTAGCAATGGCAACATAATGGCATGCCAAGGGTCCATGCAGAGGTTGCTGCATCATGAAAGGAAATGCAGCCCCTGAAGGAAGCGCGGTTCAGAAACTCTATTTTGTGCGTTGAGAGTTTCTCCAAAGACACTGGTTATAATAGTTTTTTGCTTCTTGGATACCAGTTCCTATTTTGAGACTGGTGGGAAACGTTTCTGAAATCACTGGGTCCTACTCAGTGCAGGCATAAATTGTTTGACTTGAAGCAGTGAAGAACTAACGCCTGGGAGAAAAAAGCAGCTGTCCTTGGGAGCACGTTGCTGTGGGGCTCTTCCATGTATAAGAAATAACAGATAATGAAGGAATAACTTAATTAGAGCATTTTGGAGGCATCCTGACCAGGCTTTTTCCCACAGTGTAAGTCACTTTCCTTATAGACTACATGGTTCCTGGCTCTTGATTCTCTGTTGTAATAGTGGTAGAGATGGTGTTAGAGATACAGAGTGGAGATAATCTTATGCCTTTTCAAGCATTTTTTGGCACTCTGCACTTGAATCAGTAGCACTGAGGCCTTCAGGGCCCTTTATTTTGATTTACTGCTGGGTCTACTAGCATTGTCCAGTGCTGTGCTAAAAAAAAATCACCCCTTGCAGGATATAGACTATTATAGTTTTCTTTCTCCCCTTTTCTCCTTTCTTTTTGCATGATATCCAAAGGAAATCCCTTGGACTAACGTAAACCTGTTAATGGCCATTGGAAATTCATACATCCCTAAAAGTCCTCCCAAACTTGAAGCTGAATGTTGGCTGAAAAGGTGAAAAAACATGAGAAGGAATCAGAAAAATGGATTTCTAAATGCCTCTGAAGCAGGTTCCTGAATAAGATCTACATGACAAGTATCTGAGAAAACCACCACTACCTTTAGTCATCTCTGCATTCTTCTCGATGTGTGTCTGACCATCATTTCTTGTACCTTACATGATTTATCCCTTTTAGATATATATACATATTTATCTTCTATTACAATCTTCCTTGGCAATGGTAATCTCTTCGGACCTATTGCTCCTCTATTCTTGCAGATTGCAAGTTGTGGAATACATTCATATCGGTAACACTGGAGCTTTAAGGCATCTGTTAGTGGAGATCAATTACAACCAGCACCATGTGGGGAAAGAAGCAAGTGACTTTTCCTTTGCCTTCTGGAGGGTCAGTTGTAGGATGTTACCACTCATTCCTCCTGTCAGTACATGCATGAGTCTTTCACTTCCTTGGAATAGCAAAGGACTCTCAGTTCTTATTTCTCTCTCTCTCTTTTTTTTTTTTTTTTTTTAATTCTGTCTTTTTCATCTTTAATTTATGAAGGCGTTAGGTGGTTTGGGACACTAGAGGTCACTGTGGCCTCATTGCAGGGGAATGAATACTCTGCTGGACTTGATGAGATTTTGTTTTAACTGATAAATCCGTGCACATTCTTGCTTTTCCCTCCCATTCTCACAGCTCTGTCTGTCTTCCATAGACCACTTTACTACACTTCTTGGTCAACCGAGCATCTCTTTGCCTCCCGGTCCCACTCTGCACTTTCCCTGGCTGCCTTCCAGCTTTTCTGGCGAAGTTTATCTTCTGCCCTGCCACAGCTTCAGACCTGCAGCACTACTGCTTGCTCCTAGTCACAATTTACGATTTGATTTTCAGCTTTTCATGCTGGCTGGTGAAAGAGGGAGTAGGAAGAAACTGAAATTAATCGGAAATAACTGGAGGCCCTGCAGGTGAGAGAGAACTCTTGGAATCTTGAGTGAAAACTGAAGTGAAAACTGCCAAAAATTATCACCCATGGCAAACAACGTCAAGCAAGTTTACTTGCCAATTTTTAGCAGCTAGTCAACTGCTGAAAATACAAGAAATACGGGTATTGATTCCTACTAAACCTACAGATGACTTTACTGAACAAATGCAAATGCAATGGGTAGTACAATGACATGTAAAGGTCAAAAGTTCAAGACTCCTCCACCAGTCTCATGCAAGGACCATGAAGCCAAGAAATGTGCTATACCTCATACCTTAAATGAGTATTAACAAGAATTTCAGGGACATAATGTCTTCAGGTTAAATTGTCAAACAGAAAAAAATAGATGAAGTTCAGGGGTTTTGTGTATTTTTTGCATTTTCAGAACAGCTTCCAGATGAAGATAAATTATTTTTTATTTACATTTTCTATCATCAGTTTGTACTTCTATTGTCTTTTAAATTAGTTTTAAAAAGTAAGAAAAAAATTGTCATAAGCTTGAGTTACACATCAAGGGTTTCTTCCCATAAGATCCATCCACCTAGGAATTACCGTTTTTGGTAAGAGACACAATTTGCACAGAATTCAGCTGAAGCAGATGGTTGATTTCACATGCATTCCTCAACCTTCCAGTACAGGATGCAGGCACAGCTTCCGCAGGCTGTGTCCAAGGGGATTCTTCTCAGCAATTGCACATTTTGACTGTTGGCATTGCCTAGCGTGTTATTGCTTAATAACCACAGCTCAACTGCCGTGGTTATAAAAATCCTCTTGGACTTCGGGAAATGTCTTAACCCAAATATTCAACCCCAGTTTTCGATCTCCACAGGGTAACGCATTCTAAAAGTTCAAGTCTCAGGTGGAGAAGGGGAACTGAGCTTCAGCAAATCGCGGCGTGCTGCGCGCTGCAATTGTCCGACCAGATGAGTTTCCAAGAACTGGTATTACTGCCACTGTGTTAATGTCATTGCAGGCAACAAGCAACAAGGGAATTACAAGCATTTAAAAATAAATAAATTAAGAAACCTCCTTTGGAGAAGTAAGGAACTTGAAGGCACTGAGGAGGAGAAGTAAATGAATCATGCACCTGATGTTAGTCGGCATTCTCAAACATCATGTGAATAGGCAGGATGCTGAATACCTATGTTTCCGAGGGGTGTACATCCTGAAGAGCTTCTCTTTATTACTACAAAGCTTACTAGGAGTGAGGGGAGATAGAGGACCATGTTACTAAGTATTCCACTGCTAGGTAAGGGGTCACCTCAAGTTAGATTCTGCATAACTGGCAATTTCTTTTTCATGTGGTGGATACAGAGAACTCACATTAAGTCTGTTTCTAGAAACAGACATGATATAGGAGGTGGAAAGAATTCCAGAGTACAATTTACTTGTTTCCTTCAGAGAAGGGATGACTTTTTTCCCCCAAGCTCCTATACTGGCAAAACTCCTCCTTATTGCACCAGAGAGAGTTGTCTGAATTGGGATTTTGTATTCAGGCTCACTAGATACAACACTAGGTGATGTTCATTCTTTGCAAACACCCAGTGCATGTCCTACACACAGTATAAGCCTACTTATACTCTCAGGATGTTGTAAATTCATCAGTCTTGCTCTAGTTTCCTGCACAAGAAGAATTTCAGCCACATAGGGAAACTGAATGGAAATAAATATGTGCATTCAGCATGTGCATTTGTAGATATGGGAAACTTAACATTTAGGCTTTTAAAATGACTTGCAGAACTCTAGAACTGATTTATAGAAATATCTCATTTATAGGCTGAATACACCAGAAAGGTTGTCTGCCATTACTTTTGATAAATGATTAATGAGAATACTTGTGTACAATATTTTGTGAAATACAGCATTCATTTTTTTCTTAAAATCAGTACAAAGCTACAGCCTCATAAGCACAGCTCTAAACTCAAATACATAGCAACATTTAGTTATCTAATGAAAGGCTGTGGGTCTGTACATGACAAAATGCAAGAATTAATTTCTGTATATATAAAAGTCATTTTGGTAGGAAAGAAAACAATTCTTTACCTAAAGCAATGAAAGTTTTTCTCCACTGCTATTAGAATGGAGTACAGAGCAAATGGCATATTCAGAAAGCAATCCAATGCACTACTTGTGCAAATACATCTTCATTTAGAGTAAAACAAGAAGCAGCTTACTTAGTTCACGTAACATCCCATGCAAGTCACTCAGCATTGCAGTAAAAAAGAAGTTAAATAGTCGAGGACAGTTGTCTCAAAATATGTTGCAGCAGTTTACATTTACTTTTCTACCACAAAAGACCACATACAACACATGTATTTTAAGTGATACAAACATACAACAATATATCATCATAAGTATGACAAACAGTCATGGACAAAATACACCTTTTTAAAAAGGTACTGAATGATCTGTAGAGTTTTTACTGTAGGTGTGGATCTCAGGAGTTAACTAGTTCATATTTATATCTAAACTAATTTGCAGCAGCATGCACATTAGTTAAGAGTTTCTGAAGGGAATAACATCTTCCATTCAGTGAAAAAGAGGTGCAAAAAATCTGGCTAAATCATTGTCTACTTCTAAAACCACAACAGTTGTCACTAACGTGGAGCATGTAATATAGTTTTGATTGGTGGGTTATGGTAAGTAAATCTGTCTCTTCAAAGTGCTCATAGGTACAACTGGGAATAACCTCTCCCCTCTGCACAAATCACTGTTTTGGAGGTATGTACTCATTCACTGCCAACTTCAGTCTCCCCTTTAAAAAAGTAAAAGTTAATATTAAATGTTGCTACTGAAGGAGTGGAGGATATGGCTGTTAAGTGCAAAGAATTTTGATCAGGCTGTGATAATTCAATGAGATCAATACACTGCTAGCAAGCCTGTGGAGGTAATGTATGCAAAAAGTCACAGAACTGACAGAGCAGGTGAAGTGCTCTTGAGGGATGTGACATCTCAGAGCACATCCAGTCCCCTTGAAGTGCTGTGACACTAACAGCAGGTAGGTGCACATCAGGGAAACGGATGGAGTCAGGCACCGGAGGAGCAATCTAGGAAGTGGAACCGCAGTGCTGGCTGCTGAATGCCTGCAGTCTCCCAGCCCTAATGAGTTTCAGAGGTGGTGTAATTTCTCTTGTAGCCACTGAGTCCTTTCCTGTCTCTGAGGATTTGAGCTATAAGTACAGCAAAGAGCAGCATTTCTTCTGACCGCCTTAGGACAGCGCAGCTCCAGGGCTTTGTTTACTCAGCGAGGATTGCCCTGCCAAGCCCCGACTTTGTGTGCTGCAGGCAGCCAGTCCTCAGCTGGCATCTACGCTGAGTGGAAACTCCATCTGCCCTCCTGGCTGGCCACGGTGAGGTTTATCTTAGGAGAGATGCCAGGTTGCCTCCTCTGAGGCCACGCAGCTGGGAGAAGGTGAGCCACTGCAGTGGTGCTTTCCCCTCACGTGCTGTGTCCCCAAACCTTCCTTAAGAGAGGACAGCAGGAAAAAGTTATCTACTGGATTTGCATGACAAGGTTTTGGTATTGGGAAGAGGGGCTACATGGGTGGCTTCTGTGAGAAGTTGCTAGAAGCTTCCCCATGTCCAATATACCCAATGCCAGCCGGCTCCAAGATGGACCTGCTGCTGGCCGAGGCTGAGCCCATCAGTGATGGTTGCAGTCCCTCTGGGATAACGTAATTAATAAAGAGGAAAAGTTGCTGCACAAGAGCAATTGTAGCCAGAAAGATGAGTGAGAATATGTGAGAGAAACAACTCTGCACACACCAAGGTCAGCAAAAAAGGAGGAGGAGGAGGTGCTCCAGGCACCCAAGCAGAGATTCCCCTGCAGCCTATGGTGAAGAACATGGTGATGCAGGTTGTCCACCTGGCAGCCAGTGGAGGTTAATGGTGGAGCAGATATCCACCTGCAACCTATGGAGGACCCCATGCTGGAGCAGGCAGATGTGCCTGAAGGAGGCGATGACCCCATGGGAAGTCCACGCTGGAGCAGGCTTCTGGCAGGACCTGTGGACTCATGGAGAGAGGAGCCCACACTCAAGCAGGTCTGCTGGTAGGACTTGTGACCCTGTGGGGCACCTGTGCTGGAGCAGTCTGTTCCCGAAGGACTGCATCCTGTGCAAGGGCCCCATGCTGGAGCAGTTTATGAAGAACGGCAGCCCATAGGAAGAACTCACATGGGAGAAGTCTGTGAAGGATCGTCTCCCATGGAGAGACCCCATACTGAAGCAGGTAAGAATATGAGGAGTCCTCCCCCTGAGGAGGAAGGAGCAGCAGAGACAACATGTAATGAACCGACCACAACTGCCGTTCTCCATCCCTCTTGGTGGGAGGAGGCAGAGAAATCAGGAGTGAAGTTGAGTGGTTTAAGATTTGGTTTTATTTCTCATAGTCCTTCTCTGATTTGATTGATAATAAATTAAACTAATTTCCCTAAGTGGAGTCTGTTTTGCCCATGATGGTAACTGTTGAGTTATCTCCCTCTCCTTATTTTGACCCATGAATCTTTCCTCATATTTCTTCTCCCTTGTCCCGCTGAGGAGGGGAGTGATACATCTTTGGAGGGCACCTGGTGTCCAGCCAGGGTCAACCCACCACAGTTAGGAAATGCAGGCAAATGGCACCGAGGAAGCCTTGAGGATGCTCCTGGAGAGCAGCACAGACTCTTGCTGAGGTGACATCCAACCCACTGTTGGGGAGTCCTCTCCCTGTGACAGAGCACTGATAGGCTTGTTCACAAAAGCCAAATTTGACTACATGCCTGTAACTTCCGCTGTGATTCCTGTAAACCGTAAGCATAGATTTTATGGGAGAAGCCAGGGGCTGTGCCCTTGCCCAAGAGCTGGGTCTGGGGAGGCTGCTCGACTCCAGCACTGATCAAACTGAGCTCCACCTGAAGTTAGAACACGTGGCTAGAAACATAAAAAATTGCCTACTTTTTCCATACAAAAAACTAGGACAAAGAAGCCACCTTCAGCAGCATTAGTCTATTGATATGAGTTTAAAAAATGCAATTTGCGATTATTATCAGTTAATAGTTACGGTTCATTGAACCTACTGTACAGAACCTGAGACATCTAAAAGCCATTAAGAAGCAGCCATTTCATAGATGAAAGAAATAAAAGAGACTACAAACCTGCTAGAAGCTTCCCCTTGTTCTTTTCTTCAGGTCAGGGAGTGGGAGGGAAAAACATATTTGTTATGCAGATAGTAATCACATTACTTAGTTACAGATGATGTTAGATATATGATAAACGTAAATGGGTATGTTAATTACTTTACAACACACACATTACATTGCAACCACAAAAACATTCAAGTAAGACTTGTAACAACAATGTTACTGAAAAAGAAACTTTTCAGCTGTTTTAACACATGCATAACATGCTTAGTACATACCACTGCAGACTGAGTTGGCAAAGCACTTAGGCAAAATGCATTGCTGACACATATATAACAGAAAGCTGTAGGCTCTTATTAGATAAAGTTATCTCTGGTAAATAAAAAGGTTTAATTTTAGGATAGCACAGCAATAAAGTTATTTAAAATAACAAGCAGATGCACTTTTGAGGGACAGTTGTATTTTAGAATATTTTAGGTGGAATACAGCTTCATTATTTGTGTAATTTTAGATCCCTCCATTTATACCAATGTTGCCTTCAACCTGTTCATATATGTCAAAAATCAACATTCCATGTAGCTTTTAATCTAAAAGCTCCTTTTAGTTTAGAGCATTTTGGAATTACAGTTATGGTAATGTATTACTTATGTCTCTGTTCTTGTCAACAATTTGAAATTCAAAGATCAGCTTTGGGTACCCAGCCAAACCTCTTTTTGGCTGAGCTTTTTGGCACACAGTTACCTCTTCACTGTCATGTGAATGTTCATCACCCAGCTTTGAGAGAAACCACTAATTCTCTTGCACTGTCTGCAATAACAACAGTTAGGATGCTTATCAGAGCTTTCCCATAATGCTCTTGGCACTCTCTTTTTTGATCTTTATCGAGTATCTTTTACTCCCTGATTTGTGCCCCATATTGAATCAGTCAACTTACTCCCTTCTGGTAAATCTTGTACTTAATTATGGAAGAGACTTGGGCTGCCAGTGCTCTGTGATTTCTCACCCAAACTAGGACGGCAAATATTTTCTGTCTGCCAAACTGTGACATCAGGTCTTTTTAGTCATATTCCACCAGCTGAGGATATGGTTTTCCCAGTGGAAATACTGAATTTATCAGAAGTTATAACAAAAAGAAGCAAATTCCCCAGGGCGTTCACCTGCAGAATAACACAAGGCCCTCGTCCCTTGGAAAGGCAGATCTGTAGTTATAGCCTTGTACAGAGACATAGGCATAAAAATAGCATTAAACCAAGGAACAAGCTCTACATTATACTCTAGTGATAATTCTGAACTGGATGAAACATTAAACTTGGTCTATGAGCGGGTTTTGCAAAAATGTTTCTAGTGCCTGCGGCTCAGTGATACATCTTAGATAAATGGCAATGATTTGTATTTGTCCCACTGTTCCAGGCTTCTAGATAATATTGGTTGGTTTTGTTAGTTGGAATTTTTAATGACAGGACTTAAGAAGACAAAACAAGATGAAAGAGACAAAGAGTAACTCTCTATAAGCTTGAACAGACATTGAGAACAGCACCAGCTGCCACATTTGTACCTACTTTGTAGGGCTGCAGGTATGCAAGGCCTTCAAATGAGGCTTCCAGGTAGCAATGGAAACCGATTTCTCATCAGCCGCATAACTACGCCATACACACTACGTGCAGGATATACGGTAAAAAAGAAAAAACAAGGCAAGAGGGAGCAGGGGATGAAACAAAAAAAAATGAAAAGCAGATTAGTAACCAATACAAGTCATGGATTTCTTTTATCATTCGTAGCGCTGATACATGCCTGAGGGGAGGAAGAATACTTTCATAATATCGCCAGGTGGCTGTCAGGTTTGTTCGGCTGGTGTCGGTAGAATAAAACCGCCAAGAAGCCTGGTATGGGGAAACAACAGAAAAGCACAAAGGAACCAAGAACATGTAGTGACAATGCCACCGCACTGATTTTGGAGAAAGCGGATTTTGCTCAGATCAGGATGTGCTCCATTAGGTTGATTAAGGAAATACCAGTAAAAAATTACCAAAACCTTTTGTCAATCACAGTACACTTTACATGGTAAAGTAAGAGTTACCAGCTTTGTGTAAAGACTAGAAAATACTCAGCATACAAAGATGCTCAAAAAAGCATTGCAGTGATTTGTTGGTGACAAGTCCATAGGGGACACTCACATTAACTTCAGTCTGATGTAAAGAAAGTGTCATAATACATTTTGTCAATAATAATGAAAATCCAACAGAATCATTTAGGAGAGAAGTATTCGCTGTGGTGTGAAACACTGCTAAATGTTTAAAAACACAAAATAAATAATTCCAAAGGTAAGTGACCAAAGCATTTCACTGAAAACGTATTCTCTGTTCAGATTTATAACCACATGTAGACAGACAGATCCTCTGTTGTACAAACTGGAACAGCTTCCCTGATGTCAGCATAACTATACTAATTTGTACTAGCTGAATATCTACTCTTCCTGTATAGTGTCAACCACTAAATGTCATCCAGATATTCTTGCACAGAATCTGATACCCTGTTTTTTCCTACTATATATCTCCCAGCAATTACAGAAGGATAACCTGTCACTTACTTTGTAAATTGTTCCACTGGTTAATCATTCTCATTTTCAAAAATCTCTGCATCTTTTTTAATCTGAAACTCTTTGGTTTTGGCTTATAGCCAGAGACATTTGTTCTGTCTGCTACATTAAACAGTCCTGCAGGTTCCAGTACTTCCTCTCTGGGCTTTTATGTTCAAATAATATTCACACTGAATACTTCTTACAAGCTAAAAAAATTGAGAAAAGTATGTTGATATGAAACATTTCAATTTTCTACAGTGATACCTTAGCTATCTTTAAGTCAGCTACAGGCTCTAGCACACAGTATAGCTATGGCAATGGAGGAGTTAGCACAGAATAATTCAACAGGGTAACTGATTAGAAAAAACAGAGTAACTGATTAGAAAATAGACTTTATGCTGATAAACTAGAGCACGCTGATTTCCATTGTACTTCATTATCAATGTCCACAACAGACAATTTAAAAAACAGGGCACTGTTACCATAGACAATGATACACAGATCAGATACACTCTGCATTTATGACATGAAACATTCTCCAGTCCTGGATTAATTTTTTCCCAGTGTTTTCTTTGCTTCCTCCAATTTTCCAGTCTCACTTATGAACTGTAGAGGCTGAGTTGATATGTAGCATGTTAGTACCAGCATCATCATATACAGTGGTAATATCAGTCTTCTCCTACTTGTTACCTTTCTTGTTCTGTATCTAAGGACTGTGATAAGCCATCTGGAAAAACATGCTGAGAACTCGTATGATGCTCTTGACCCTTCTTTCCCACTCTTTATCGTCTGTGTTTCTCATCCTTTGTCAAATCCTTTCTAGAGTCAGTAATACTAGGATAGAGGCCTCTTGTAATAGTCTGAATTAATTGCTTCTAGATCAAGGTTTGTATTTGGTGTATTAAGACATTTGGTAGGAATTGTTCCACCTCAGCAAGTCACCCAGACCATCCTCAGGTTCATTCCCATGTGCTTGCCTTCATCTTTCCTATTCTGACAGGCCTTGTACCATTGGCAAATATCTCAATCAGCAATTTTAAGTTAATTTCCAGATCACTGAAAATGCTGAACATGTAAATGTTGAACAGCCTTCATCAAGAGATCCCACCACAAATGTCTTCCTTTCACAATGATTTTGCCCACTCACAGTCACTTTCTGAAATCAGTCAGCTAGCTACTCTTATTTTATTTAGTATGTTGTCATACTAATATTTTGGTTGAACTACCATACAATAATAAGAGGAGCTACACCCCAAATCTACATCTATTGTCTGTTTCCTCTGGCAAGCAAACTTGGAATTAGATTAGGATATATATGTTAGAAGATATCTCAGACAGTCATTCTACAGTACAATAGATACAAAAGGAGTGGATTTATATTTATTAATTAAATTAATAAATACTAAATCTCAGATATATAGTATTTAATAATCATTGAACATTTATTAACTTTAAGAATGCTCTAAAGACAGCCTGGAATCTATCCTGAACTTATCATGCAACTCTAGTGTATTTAAGCTCAGCTTCTTCATTGGGATTCGTTACTTCAGAATTAGAAAAACAGCATAAATGGCACATATAAAACACTTGGAATCCCAAGAAAATAAACCAAGATGCCAGAAAATTATTTGCCCCTTTTTTTTCAATGTATCAAGTAGAGTAAAACTTTGTGCAACATCATTCTATAGAGGATTTTCTCCCCTTTACCTAGGATGGTAAATTAAAGAAAGAACCTGTGCAAAACAATTGTTTAACAAATATCATGCAACTTTTGCTTGGGAAAAATCTTTCTCTGTTGTTGACCTGCACTATGTTGTTGATCTGCACTATGTCATGTCAATATTGGAGCTGAAGCCATTTCAGAAAATTTCAGAGATTTTGGAATCGATAGTCCCTACATTTCCAGCTTTTAAATTGACTAATAGTGAAAACAATTCTCTGAGTAGGACACTTTTCAGTTTCACTAACTACGTCACTCACTGGAGCTTCTAAACCCTGTAGTAGATGACAAGTAGCTTAATACAGGCACAAGTGCTGTGCTGTCAGTTGGGCTGTCTAGGGATCAAAAGTTATTTTTCCAAGCAATTCACTAACTGCAGGCACGTGGTTGACATCCTTGACTGGGTTTCCTCAGCCTAGACAGAAGAACTGAAAAACCACATATCCAAATGCTACATACACAATTATGGCAACGCATAGCAATCATCGAACAGACATTTCATAAAACTAACGAGTCCGATAAACATTTTTTCCACAAAATTTTCCACATTGAAATAACAGAACTTGCTCTAATATGTACTTGAAATCACCTATGATTATATTTTCGCTGTTTTCATATCTACCTGAATTAGACTCGCAGCTGGATTCCTTCTTTTCTCAAAGTGTTTCTGACGATGCTGTTCCTGCACTTTTAATGCGAATCCCGAGCCAAGGATGCCCTGCAACACAGTATGCCTTTCATCAGTATGTGCTACTCTTTCAACTAATATACAGAATCAGCTACAAAGTTTTGTGGAGATGTTACGCCATATGATTGCTTCAGAAAACACATTTCTGGCACTGTATAACATTATAAGGCTTAACAACAGTGCCCCTTTTGTGGTGAAGCCGGAGGCTTCTTACTTAAGAGGTAATATCTGTGGTGCTACCAGTGATCACTCATCCCAACCATTGCTCAGGCTTTTGCTACACTATGTTCTTGCCACTCTAAAGGCCATGGATATATATGAAATGAAGCAGGAACAATTCAGAGGAGCTAAAGACAGCAATAACAAAATGACCAGCTCCCAGAAATACCAGAAATATATGGACCTCAAAGTTTGTATCTGAAGTGCTTATCGTAGCTTTTGCTTTTAGAAAAGTTAAAAAATGCCTTGTATAACAGGTAAGACCATTTCTTCTCGCTCTTTTCCATCTAAATAATCCCCATTGTTCATTCTCTGGGCTATGAGAAAAAGCTGCTGATGAAACCTCTCTCCTTTCAGCATTTTAACCTTTGAAAAAGTATGATAGATTTGACTCCTGATAAACAGACCCAAAGATGGAGAATGTTTCCCTCCTTGGCTTGCAAGGAGTGTAATATTTCTGCTGGACCTGTCTGCATTATAAGTAAGAATATCTTCACTTGATCCTTAGTCAGGGTAGAACAGTATTAGAAATACAAGATTCACAGATACCTCTTTTTTTACAGAAAGGTTGTTCATGAGGAAAATTAATATCTCTACATAGATAATGACACAAGGAACAGAAGTTCGAGCATCTCCAATATGTAAAGTTATTCATCTTTTACATCTTTATTAGTTTTAGGTTTTGTCTATAAGGTTGAAAACAAATGTATTATTATAACATAAATGTTGTATAGTGATCTACAGATAATGAATCTGAGTATTAAAATACTGATTTGATGGATTTGATGCATGGACAACACAGCGGATAAAGAACTGGCTTGAAGGCCGCACCCAAAGAGTGGCTGTGAAATGGGCCACGTCCCAGGGTAGGGCACTTAGGCCAGTGACAAGTGGAGTCCCTCAAGGATCAGTGCTGCGACCAGTCTTATTTAACATCTATATTGGCGACATGGACAGTGGCATTGAATGCACCCTCAGCAAGTTCGCTGACGACACCAAGCTATGCAGTGCAGCTGACACGCTAGAGGGAAGGGATGCCATCCAGAGGGACCTGGACAGGCTGGACAGGTGGGCCCATGCCAACCTCATGAAGTTCAACAAGATCAAGTGCAGGGTCCTGCATCTGGGTCGGGGCAATCCCAGGCACCGCTATAGCACTAGAGGGAATGGAGGAAAACTAGAAACAGGTAGATTCCGATTAGACATTAGGAAGAAGTTCTTCCCCATGAGGGTGGTGAGACACTGGCACAGGTTGCCCAGAGAGGTGGTGGAAGCCCCATCCCTGGACGTTTTTAAGGCCAGGCTGGATGGGGCTCTGAACAACCTGATCTAGTGGGTGATGTCTCTGCCCATGGCAGGGGGGTTGGAACTAGATGATCTTTCAGGTCCCTTCCAACCCAGACAATTCTATGATTCTATGATTCTATGATTTTGTGTATATGTTGCACGGGATGCAATACAAAAAAATACAAATGTCACTTTTGATTTCATGATTATTCAATACTCATTTAGAAAAGAAAGGAAATTCACTCACAAGAATGAAAAGCAATTTCTGAAGCTACACTGTATTTTAGTCATTAGATGATTCCCATTTCCATTAAATTCTTCTGAACATTGAAAAATGCAACATAAACAAACCGTCATGTTTATTTACAATCATTCACAGAAACTGATAGCTGCATTTTTACATTCAATGACATTAATTTTTGGTTGATTTAATACCTTCTACTACTCTCTTTTGGTAGCCTGAACATGATCACACAAGACAACCTATTAGAAACACCTCACTTTAGTGGAATCTAATTCAGAAAACCACATAAACTGATCTTTTTTTTTCAAAAATCTGAAAGAAAAGCAGTAATAAATAAGCCACAATTCATAAAAAAAAAGGAAGGAATTTCAACCTTGTACAACAGCATGCTAACTAATTTAAGATTATTTCCTGATTTTGTCTATGCCAAACTCCCCAAGACTCAGGCAATGACACAAAACCTTTTGTTTGGATCTCAGACAGCAGTTCACTGGTGTTGTCATAAAGCAAAAAGCCTTGAACGGTTGTTCTTCATCTTGAGAACTTCCTTCAGCTTTTTGTATCATAACACCAGCAGGAGCTGGAGAAGTTTCTGTCACCTTCTTACACTTTTTATAGGCATACTCACAGCAGGTAGTGCAAAGAAGGAAATGCCAAGTAGAGCAAATCCTGCAGAAAGCAGCCTCCCAAGCCAAGTAAGAGGAGTTTTGTCTCCGTAGCCAATGGTTGTCAGTGTGATCTACAAAGAAATGAATGAACGTTGTGGTTTACCAGAAGTCACTGAGAGGTTAGTTGCAGATTCTTTACATTGCATGAAACAACATTTCCACTAAATAATCCAAGACACATGAAATATGTATAGTTGTTTCTAAAAGAAAACCAAACATAAATTGTTAGTAAATTTTTCTACGAAAATTTGATAGTGTTTATGACTGAATAAAACTGAGATAAATAATAAACATGAGAAAAATACCTACCTAAATAAGTGATAAATAAATTGAAAAATAAAATAAAAAAAACCCAGAAAATCTGGCATCTCAAAGTTGAGGCAAATGATGGGGAATTATGTGAGCTGAGCAGAAAAAAGTGTTCTTTTTCATGGATGCAAAAGTGTTTC